ATTAATTAATCTGAATTTTAGCCAAGTTGCAGTTTCTAACAGCTTTTGTGGATTCGCCACAGAATTGTTTTATTTCAAGAAGTAAAACCTCCCAGCTAATAGTTTCATTCCATTATACGTATATTTCGTTTTTTAAGCTTTTATTTTTACCCAAATCACTGCATCGTGTATAAATCTCAAAACAAAGAACACGTAAACTAGCAAACCTATTAATAATGACAACACCATATGAAAACTTAACACAGTACAAGAATAAACGTAGAAAATGGTTGGAATCGACACAGCATGCAGAGTCTATACTGTTACACAGACACACTTTTTTTTTCTAATCCTCCGCTTTCTATATCTACCTATCTATATTTGTCTCACTAAATGGAAGAGGATTTCGAAATAATACGACACGCTTACGTCTGGAGCAACTGGAGACAGGCCTGGACTCTAAACTAGGATCTGAGTGAGAACGTTTTAAAAGCAATACAAGCTGGCGCGTGTTGCGCTTCAGATAAAAAACTTAAGAAGGGAAGACATGAAATATCAATCTGCGTCAACAGATAATATAATCTTGTTTTAAAAGACATCTAAGGGATAAAGGAGCGTGCCTCGATATAAATGTACTTCTCACGAAAATCTGTTTGTTTCCTCAAATATTATATGTTCTGGTGAACCTGATTTTTTCTTTTTAGTTAAAAAGTATTCAGATATATATAATCTAAAACGTGTTTAGATATAAATGATTTTCTAGCCTGAACATCTTTTATCTTTTTATTTTTTTTTACAGAGAACCATGAACTTGAAATGCTATCAAGATCCCAAAAATCTAACAGATTAACAAACAGACAAAAAAGATGACAAATGGAACTGAGTATTAGAGTTATAGACTGCCTTTACAAAGACTAAATATACAATTCATACACATTAGAAATAAGGATTTTAAAGAAATGTTTGCTGACTTTTTTTACTAGAAATTCCGATAATTTTACAATAAATGATGTATATGTATGTGAAACATATAAACTCGGAACACCACAGTTTTGAGGATGAATACATTAAAAGTAGGCTAAATGAGGGACCTGTTTTAAATTCGGAGTTGAACCCAATTTATAAGTTCACCTCCTTTATTTGTTTTCGCAAATATATTAACGAAGAATACATTTTACAGATAAGTGAATACTACTATTTATAGAATAATTTATAATCAGTAACAGCTAGTTTCAAGTATACAACTATATAACTTTTAAGGAAGTTGATATATTCGAAAGTGAAGACAAACCAATTGCATTATTTTAAGCTTTGCGGCTACAACATTTCAGTAAATCTTTGTAAGCGTTTTCAAACAACAGTAATTCTGAGAGTCTGCGTGCGTGATTTTAACAGAGATTAACTGTATAACCCTTCTTTATTATATAAATACATTTCCTAAGTAGAAACGGGAATAAAAACGAAAAACAAAACACGACTTAACAAGACACCAAATATTTTTTTTCAGATTAGATCATAATGAAAAAATTATTATTCAAAAGTAATTATGAAAAGGTGATATAAATAAATAAGTAACATGGGCTGTGAGACGAGAATTATAAATGTGAAACAACAACAACGTCAGATGGTGTTGGTAAAAAGCTTTGCGTTAATTTAACTGCAAAATTATTAACAATATTACTACCTTTAATACAATGAAGAATGTAATTATTACAATTTTTATGGGTTTTATCGAGGTGTAATGGTTAGCATGACCAGACTGTAAATTCGATTATTCATGGTTTGCGTCCCGTTGCTCGCAAAGCCGCGCTCCTCATTATGGGTCTATGGGTTCGCTATAAGAATGATAGTCAAACTATCATGTTAGATAAGAGTCGAGAGCGTTTGCTTTCTCCAACTCTATCGGTTTAAAATTAGGGGCGACTAATTGTTTGTTTTGTTTGTTTGTTTGTTTG